CGTAATAGAAGTGACATACTTTACCTAGAGGCCCAGTTGCGTTAAGACTGTGAAAGATGAAAACCTTATCATGTTAGGTCACTAGGCGGTCAGGCCGCCACACGCCAATGAGAGTAAATACTTCATTTATGAGGTAAGTTGGCTGAAAGGAAGCGGAAAGCCCTCCTGACGATGCCGCCTTTCCAGGAGGCAGTCTGAGAGAGCAGAGCTCTGGACTGTGAAGACACGGTCCCCAGTCACAGCTCTCCATCTGGCTCCGCTGTCCTATTCCGCTAGACGTGGATTTTTAACGACTGGATATCTTAAGCAATCTGAAAACCTTCACGACTCAAGGTTCCAGGGCTCTGAGTAATGGCACGCATTTCCCAATTTTATACATTCGTGTACGGTAGAAAAACTTCACTTTGGGGGCCAAACTACCTCCACGCTGAAAAATGAGTCTTCTGTGTCCACAGCTGTCTCCTTTCCTGTTCTCGACAGTCCCTTGTGTCCTTTTCTCGATCAAGAGTTATGTATTTTGTCTTTTCGAAAACTGCTTCGGGTTTCACGAAACATTACTACTGCCTGGTTTTCTGTCTCATCAGCCTGTTTCTATGCTTCGCCTCCTCTCTTCTTTGCGGTCACGGCACCTCTTTGAGCTCTGAGTGACAGCTTGGTGCCTCTACTCCAGTCACTTCTCTCAGTCCTGGGTTCGGTAGTCAGCACTTTCACGGTCACTCTGGTCATGTTTTCCATTTCGATTTCCCTCCCTAAGATCGAGTTAATTCAGGAGTGTCTGGCGTTTGCAGGTATGTTTTTATTAACTTTTTGTTGATTACTTTTACTGCACTGAGGATGAGGGGCACCGAATTTGTTCTGTGTGGTCTCAATCTCTGAGGCCTTCTCGGTCACTTTCTGCACACGGTCTGTGAGTATCTGAAAGGGTTTAAGATTCTACATACGTCTACTGGACCGAGCTTGTAAATCCTTCTGATGCGAAGTATTTTTACTGATTAGATCCATTGCTCACCCGCTATGAGCATGGATTTTGTTATTTGTAGTTCTGTCAGTTTTTTGCTTTGATATTTTGAAGGTATATTAGGCGGCTGAGAACACTCTAAATCAAGAGTAATGCAAGGGTTTGCCTCTTAATCCTTGGGAACAGAAGCTATTTATCAAACTGAACAGTTCCCTCATGTTGCCCTGTTTGCTCTTAGTGGCTTAACATGATGGTTCCTCTGATAGCTCTTCCCCTTCTCACTCAGTCTCTATTTGGAATCACCTACCAGCCCTCCTGGAAGGTGGCTGTTTATTCGATGAATATGTAGAAATTATCTACTTTGGATCACGTGTTGTAGACACAATAGTAAACAAAACAGTAATGAAATAATGGTATAAATATATAATTATAAACTGGTAAAAGCTCTGAGGAAAAAGTATTGCTACCTTAGGTTTATACGAGGTGGTGGCATCAGAGAAGGCCACCCACCCGAGTGAATGCTTGATCTCAGGCCCAGAGGAGGGGTGGGTGCTGGGGCCTCCAGGCTCAGACCAGCACATCCCCAAAGAAGAGAAGGTTGGGGACCAGGAAGGGGCCAGCAGGCCGCAGCAGGGCCTCACCTGGTGCCGCAGCCAGGCCCTGCACTGCAGTGGACACAAGGACAGGGGAGATCCACGAGGCGTCCGGGAGAGAAGGGAGCCCAGCTGGGGCCAGAATAGCTTGGCTGGGGGTGTCGCTCTGGAGACAGGCAGGGAGCAGACGTAGGGCTAAGGAAGTGGAGGTGTGTGGGGGGAAGGAGGTATGGATCTGAGTCATCAGTGTGTGGCGGTACGCAAAGCCATGAGAGGGAACAGAGTAGGGTGACAAACTCCAGCTGTTCACAGGCAGCTAGAGACAGAGAAGCAAAGGCAGTTTGGGAATGTGGGGTGTCACAAATGCACCCTGGGGTGGTGCTCCTGCCCCCAAGCACTGAAAATCTGGTGCAGAGCTCCATCAAATTGGTTCTTCCCGTTTTCTCCCTTCTCCCACCGAGGCTGCTCCCTAAATACTGTCGTAGGGAAAAGTAAGTGCGAGGTCATAGTTGTGACCCGCCATGGTGTCACAGGACGAACGGCAGAGGGGAAGAGCACTCTGGAAGGCCAGCTGGTCCACGGCGAACTCATAGGCATGGACCAGCCCCCGGTGCCTAGAGAGAGCAGAGATGGAGACAGGGTCAGCGCCCCCTGCCAGCCCTCGCCCCTCGGGCTTCTGTCTTCACAGCAGGCATCTCCTTAGGCAGGACGGCAATTCATTTTAACAGCTATACCCTTTGGGCCCACAGTGCGTTGGACACTCAAAGTCTTGGGACTTGAGATAAACAGGTAAGTGGACAAGTTTAACGGAGGAAATTAAGTGCTGGGAGGCACGGCACCTGGCCTCAGCGAGGCTGCTCAGAAGCCAGCCCACAGTCTACTGAGAAAAGGCACCTGAGTCACAGGAGGCCTGGGCTAAGATTCTAACCACCGGGTCCCTAAGCCCTTTGTCTTGGGCTCCCTGCGGCACTATGGCCAGCCCTCCCTGCGGTCCGCATCCCCTGCAGCCATGCTGCAGGAGCAGTGCGCTCCCGTGGGAAACGCTTACAACAGGCACTCAGCACCTGCTGCACGCTGGTACCGCTCCCCTGCATCCATATTTGGCTGACTGAGGGTGCATCCTGTAGGGAACAACGTGGCCTGGTGGGGCTGTCACTAAAATCAGACTAAACTGTCTTTTCTGAACACCTCCAAGCCCAGCGCAACCCACTGACCTCCTGTGAGTGGCGAAGTCGTCCAGGTCGGCACTCCGCACCACCCTCTCGTAGGGCACGTTGGCCGTGATGAGCCTGCGGCTGTTAAAGGAGATGTGACGGACGGGGTGTCTGGAACACAAAGCGGGGGGCTCCTGTAAAGGTAAGTCCCACCGAAGCTGGGCACGGCCTGCGTTTGCTACCACAGTTTTGAAAGTTTAGAGCTGCACGGGACTCTAGAACCCACGCTTTTCTCTTACAGAGGAAGAAACGGGGTCCTCAGAAGGGTGGTGTCTCGCCTCTGCTCCCAATGCTGGTCGGAGCCAGGCCACTCTGTAAGCAAGTCCCAGTGCCCCCGATGCATGCTGGTCGGTTGCCCAGCAACGTGGTGTTTTGGACACACAGATAAACTCGGCAGCATGGTAGAGAACAGCCCCGTTTCTGCCCCCCATGGCTGGCCTGGGACAAGTCACTCAAGCTCTCTGAGCCAGGTTCCCCATGCACAGGGACTGGGGGTGTATTCCGTGGTGACCCATAAAAGGCCCCTGAGTCGTGAAGTCAGGGAACTACGTGTATACTCTGGGCTGTGAAAGCACATTCAGAAAATCTTGGAATAAAATGGCTTGAAATCTACATAGCAAAGGCTTTTTTACTCATTCTAAAAAAAATTTATCCAGTGCCTAGTATGGTCACAGAACTGAGCGGAAGACTTGGGATGAAAAGGATGTCCAATGCAAGCAGCTGCCTACATCAGAGATGCCTGACTAGTTAAGGAGGTGAGATATACAAAATGTAGCCAGTGTGTCTAGAGCACAAGGGATGTTACAAGCCACCAAGATGGGACACAGAATTCAGCACTGGGGAGGAACAGGGTCGGCCGGGTCCTGGCTGCTTGGCTAGAGCAGAGGATTCTCTCGAGAGTGACGAGGGCAGCCTGAGCCCAGCCGTGTCAGGGTTCCCAGCGCCACCTGCAGGAGGGACGCGAAGCACAGGCTGGATGTGAGCAAGACTCCGGGACGACCAGCGAAGGCTGACCCAGTCCCAGGCTTGCAACTGGTTGACTGATGGTGTCACCGACAGAAGGTGACGACAGGGAGAGCTGGCTGAGGAGGGGCGGGAGGACCCGGGGCGTTCGGTGGAAGTTGGGCAGGACAGGAAACTGACCAGGCGCCAGCTGGTCCAGCGCTCAGAGGAGAATCGCACCAGTAGTGTGGCAGGTGAGGACTTGAGTGAGCTCGGGCTCCTGCTCAGAATTTGTGTAGAGTGAGGCACCAGCCTCATTCTGGTAGGAATGGTGACCTTATGAGAGACAAGCCACTAACGGGGAGTGAGAACCGGATGTGCACTTACAAACGAGTTAGGAAGGCAAATGCCAGGACAGGGCGATTCTGGGAAGACCTTACTTACCCTGGCTTCACCTGAACGGCTCATCCACGGGAGCGCAGCTTTTCAGGGAGAGAAGAATGAGATCTGCTGGAGTGCAGGCCTAGTGAACTAAACGGCACTGCCGATGGGAACCGGGAGAGGGGCTGGTGGCATTCTCTGGGTGCAGGAGCTGTCCTAGAGGCCAGGTTGAGCTAGCTTTTTAAAACAAATAAAAGGGTTTCCTTAAAGGCAACCGTTCGGGAACACCACTGTGTGGGAGTTTTAGTTGCCTTTTGGCACCACCTGGTGGCAGCGCTGTGCATCATAGAGAGGCCAGAAAAAGGGCCTGTGCAGCGGGTTTCCAAGTAGGGCAGGGCTGGCCGGGCCGGGCAGTGCAGGCTTCATCCAGGGCTCTAGTCTGATAAAAGCTGCTGGCTGAGGCACTCACTACCACTACCCTCCGAGGAAGAAACCAAATTCTTCTTTTAACCTTGCCACTTCCTGTACTTAAAACGTAGACTGTGCTGCCTTCTCTAGGTCTAGCTGATGGGGATTCGGAGGCCTCGCCCTCTGTGGATGCTCTCTACTATTATGCTCAGAGTCCACTGCGCCAGAACATCTTTATAGGGGGGCTGGGGGACAGCTGGGGAGAAAGCTTGTGGCCTTCGCCCCAACTGCCTCAAAAGCAGGATTTCCCACTGTAGGCGAGGTGAGGATGACCCCAGGCTGCCTCTCCTTTAAAAGTCAGGAGGAAGCTTGAAAATGCTCAACCAGTTAGGCCCCGTTAACTGAATGTACTCACATCCGTGAAGCCACGTGCCTGTGCTTGGGACGGTATCTCTTAATATTAAAGGATAAAATTGCAAATTTCTTAGTTCGAGCCCGAATACTGTCAGTCCTAAGTGCCCTTCTAAACAGTGTAAGGAAGGTCCAAGAAATGGGCAGAAAATGACATCATGGAGGTCGAGACATTTTAAAGTAGAGGCAGGTGGGCCAACCTCCCTCCCACCTGTGGGCAGACGGGCGGCTGCAGCCCAGCAACACGCCCTCTTGCCTGCACCTCAGTCGGGGAGTCCCAGACGGTCTCTACCAAAGGAAGGTATGAATTACGGTAATTTTAACGATGTGAGAGAGGACCTGCCTCTCTAGTCTCCGTATCTTCATCTGAAAAATGGGGCTAATAGCAGTAACTAGCTCACAGGGTTACGGTGAGGATTGTAACACACAGATGGCCTTGAGCACAGTGCCTGGCTTACAGATCGGCTAATGTCATGACTGTTATTACTAAACACACCAAGAGACAGCCTTACCTAGAATGTACCTCCCACAGCTTCTGGTTCATCCGATAATCCCACACAGAGACCAGGCCCTCCTCGCCTCCGCTGACGATTTTCCAGTCATCCATCTGGACTGCAGAGACTCCCAGTTGGTGGGCAGAGAGCGACAGGGCGATGGTGTCAGTGCGGAGGTCATGGACCCTCACCCTGGAAGGCCCAAGATGAGCAGAGAGATTAGAGCTAACATCCAAAATGACAAATTCGTCCTCAGTTGTGGTCTGTGCACAAGAATATAAAACTCCTTCACTTGCAAACAACTAAATGCTGATATAAAATGTGATCTCCTTATCAGTAGACTGTCATAGGAGATCAAGATGCAACAAAAATGAACTAGTTTAGAGTACTCACTGCTGCTTAATCAGAATGACTTAAAAGCATACGAAACAAGACAGACTCAAGACCCTGTCTGCTCAATGGGACGACACGTGACCTGGGTACAAGTCCACAAAGGGAAGTTGAGATCTGACTGGCACTTGTCTACACATGGGTGTCAGCCTTCGAAGGCTGGCTCAAGGCTAAGTTTAACTGTCAGCACAGAGATTTTACTCTTTTAAGAGCAGGAGGTAAATCAGTTATGCTTGTCTGCAACCCGAACCCTTACCTGGTTAGGAAAATAACACTTTTTGGGTATTTAACTCAACTTTGTAAGTTCATTACCATCTTGTTGAAATCTGGAAAGGGAACATCTATAGTTGACTAAAGCATAGCAGAAATCTCTCATCCACTAGAAACGCCAATGTACTTAGTTTCTGATAAAAGTAAGCCACAAGAGCTAAAACTGAATGCGGCAACATTTCTGTACAGGTGAACTGAACAGACCCTATGCTGCAAGCCAAAAAAGGAAGAGACCCCACCACCTATTAGCGGAGCTGGGCAAACAGTGCTAGTATGTTAAACGTGATCGCAGATGTGTTTCGCAAAGAAAATGTGAGAAGGAATTATCTGAAACATGTTCCATGTCCTAAGCTCTTAGTTATATGAGCATCCATACAGATTATTTTCAGAGCTCAGGAAGAAAATTATTTAAGCTGAAAATTCTATAACTAGCTTACCTACCAAATTTGAAAGCATAATTAAGAGTTCGTTTTTGTTTTAACAGAAAAGGACTCAAAATGAACTATCTGGCGATACTCTCTGAAAGTAATATAGCAAAATACCGAGAGAACAGTGAGGAGCCAACACACCAGCCAAACAGTAACATATAAAACAAACACGAAATGTGGTATGAGAATGCAGATGGCTTAAGAAAGACGCAGCGTGTCTGTTGGGTCAATAGATGCACACAGGACAAACCTACCGATCAGCAAGAAGTGCTTCGAATGGGTCACAAAGCAAAACGCAACATACGCTATACACAAACGGCACGTTTGCAGTGACAAGGAAGAGAGGTGATCATTTTAATACCAGAAAAGGGATTTCAGAGCAAACAGTAGATGAGAGTACTTTACAATGATAAAGGGCACAGTTCACTAATGGTTTGGTAGAACTTGCCAGGAAAAAAAAAACAACAAACCTACATCGACCTAGTTTCTTTTTTGTAGACAGATTCTCCTCCCTTTTCTAGTAATTGAGTTTCTTTATTCATTATAATCTACTTCAGCTTTTCTATTTCTTGAGTTATTTTAAATTTCCAAATTTGAAAATTTAGATGAATAAATGACCGTCGGAGACAGAAAATCCAAATAGATAAAGTAACAAAGAGCAAACTGGGAAAGCTTTCAAGAAGCAAATGTCCCCGCAAAAAAAAGAACCCGAAACTGGCCCAGCCCGGAAGGACAGTGACCCCAGGGCCGTGGCCACTGCTTCTCGGGAAAAGAGGGACGCGTCCAAACTCGACACAAAGCCGGCACTCTATTACGGAGAAACCGGAATAAAATATCAACTAATAGAATCCACAGCAGTACTCTGCAAACAGGAGAATCCATCCAGAATATCTATTAGTATAATTTGCCATATTATAACAAAAACAAAAAGACACAATCATTTCCATGGATGCTGAAATGAAATTTGATGAAAAATCCTTTTACTAGTGTTATTTTTTGTAAAAATCAGATATAATTAGATAAAAGAAAATGAGGTGGATAAATTTATCAGTAGAGATGACAATCTAAGATACTACAGTAATAATTCAGAATCAAATGTAAATTAATGCCAAAATCAATAGGTAGCTTATGTACAACCACTAGTTTTAAAAATGTAATCAAAGATCCCACTTATAATAGCAATTAAAGGCAAAATACTTTATAACTTTCCCATCTTGGAGTTCTACCATATACATTATACCAAAGCAAGTTCACTGGTAGTGAGAGAAATTACGAAATAAAACTACAATGCAATACACCACTTGTCAGCTATTTACTCAGCAAAGGAAAGTCTGGTAGAATTCTTGAGACCTTTCATGCTGGTGAGACCTGGTGAGATAGGTACTTAACCACCGACAGGAGCAGAAATCCCTCTTGGGGAGTGATGTGGCAATAGTCAACGAAATAAAAAATACACTTCTCGTTTGACCTAGGCATTCTGCTTCTGGGAACTTATCCAGGATATGTGCAAGCCGTGTACACACACACACACACACACACACACACACACACACACACACACGTACAAGGCCATTACCCATGGCAATGTTTTCAGTAGCAAAAGAATGCGGCCTCTGTTTCAGACAACTTGATGACCCTCCCCTT